ATCATGTCTGGCTGTGGATGCGCTTCTTCTGGCTCTTGTGGCTGCGGCTCTAGCTGCACCTGCGCCGGCTGCCCTGTAAGTTCTCCCTGGTCTGGTGCATATCTCAACGGTCCGAGGACTAACGTATGCCAATCAAGCACAAATAAACTATTCTTTAACGCCTTCGACGGGAACCCTGATGGATGAGACATGGGGAATGGGAACTCGGATGGTTAACGATGGATCCACTCATTACTTCTTGTCGGCACTAAAGTGCAAGTCTCAGAACTAAATGACGATCACAAATTGCAGTCTGAACTCTTGAGGATGATGTATCATGCTTGTGTTGTGAATGTATTATCCCAAACTTAGCTGGTGGCCGTTTCCAACTGGGCCAGCAGAACTATCTCTACCAACGGTTGTCCGAAGACGGGAAGAATGCTAGAACTGGGCTGAAAGCCATACTCTGCCAATCCTCCTTTGTTGTTAAGTCGGCATCGGATTCCCCTCCTTCATCCAAATATACACCCGCTATTGATTCCACCTCTTGAACATCCCGGACAGACCACTTGGACTGGTGACGCTGCCCTCTCTCGTATGCCATCAACATAGCCTCTCGTATCAACCTCGTACCATATAGTATCGCAGCTATGACTGACATGGCAAAGCTCGCCTGTGCAATTTGGCAATACCCTTGGGTTTTGTTCCATGCCGCAGAACACCCTCTGGTTAGGTACCAGGGATGTGGACTTGGGTGTTCAGGGTCGGTAAAGTCGCTCGACATTTGACCTGCAATGCTCACTGTCCAGAGCCCGAGAAGGATCGCATCGTAGATATTATTTACGCAGCGGGGGAGGTATCGAAGATGTGACATGGCGGTGCGGGCGAAGAAGACGACCAACCCAAGGATGGCGATCGCGAGGTTCGAGGTGTAGAGTCTGGAGACGCCCAATATCAGCATATTTCCTATCAACAAGCATTAATATCAAGATGTTGGATATCGTACCTTTGGCTCCAAATCAGAGGCACTTCAGGTGGCTCCTGATGGTTGGCGTAATAATAGATCCGCTTGTTAGGGTTGGAGTTCCATCCTTGTTCGCCACCGTTCTCCCATAGTCGTGATCTGAATTCTACTGGATACATGAGACCAAATAGAGTCACTGCCGTGGTCGAAATGGCCAACTCTGTGAGGATCAGTGCGAATGGTGTCTTGTGCGTAGGCGCCATGGTTGCGAGTTCTTGCGACACCACTCCTTCAAACATCGAGAGAGGCGGGGAGCACTCTTTAAATGGGCTTGGGCCGGTGTCCAAGGTGCATTACTAGTAATACGGTGACAATCAGTGGGTAGGCTGTGTTGTTTTTTGGTCGAAAGCCCGGTTCACAACCTTGCGCTTTCCTGATGCCGAAACTTGCTCATACTGCCGCATCGAAGGATGACATTGGCATATTGGAATATCGTGCAACACAACATATGGATTAATACTATGGTTACCTGATAAGTATCCTCTGCTCACAGTAGATAGGCCTCGAGATACTCTGTTGGTACAGTGGATGCTGTCACAAGGGTGAATATTAAAGTGCGCCACGGTGTTTCTCCACGAACTCAATATTCGTTTCTGCCGACTTATTAGACATCACTAGCTCCCGTTGAAGGTCCAGGAACTCGGAAATTAAGAAGGTTAATGATGGCAGGGGTGTTGGGTAAAGCTCTCTATGACAGCCAAGTTACAGCCTGTGAGTTGTTCACGTCTACCATGTTCCACAAACTGCGTGTTATTATCTGTTTTGGTACACCAACAACCCTGGACCCCGTTATGAGTTCTAAGGGAGTCAGATAAGATCTTTTGTCAATATGGCGTCCATCCAAACAGACGAGAGTGTGCCACGCTGAACGTTGTCGCTCCCAACTACCTAGGGATGCATGAGGTGCAGTTGATAACAAGCATAACGAGTGCTGCTACAGGACTATCAGTAAGTAAGTACTGACATTTTTGCATTGTACCAGAACGATATACGAGCTACCAGGTTGGAGACCTGACCAAGCTGATATCAGGCATAACCGTTCAACGAGGGTTCGATTGGCGTTCACCAGGACTGGTCGTTTGTAAGGCATGGTATCCTCGAGATATGAGGAATTTTGTCATAAACACATGTCTAGCCCCTGGTATTCTAACATGAGCACAATCTCCCATTTGCTTTGTAGTATATCTAACTTCAATAATCCTCCCGTAATCTCGAGGTTGTTTCCCATAAGATGAGAGTATTGATGGTTTTGTCTCCCTTTCCCCGTGATCTTAGCTGATCGATCAGCTCAACTGTAAGGCACATCTGGAAAATACGCTCAGAGGTTTATTTTGTTAGAGGAAATAACTCGGCACTGCTGTCTAATTGCAATGAGTATGAGTTGTGAAAAGAGACTCTTGCGTTGATTGGTTATTTCCGAGATCGCCCAGTCTCCAAGCATCCATGACTCCGAGGCAAGCGGGAGTTTAGTTATTGGTGATGTCAGGCTCCACTCCAGCTACCTAAGTCAGCCCGCCGCGTCCACTGCCGTGCCACTTTCAAACATCATCAGCACAAGACAAAGCTTTCTTTTGTTCCTTCACTCATTTCTAGAACCGACTTTACTTTCTCAATACACCGGCCATAAAATGCAATAGAACCTATTCTTATCGAAACCGCTTTCACTTCTACAACCACCGTTCTACCCGATCGGCACGCGACCCGAGGTTGCTATTCAGCCATGCCGTCAGAAACCCAAGATACACCCGGCATAGCCGCTCTCCCTCCAACGAAACCGGCCGATGCGCCCCGACGATGCTTCATCTGTTTGACTGACGAAGATCCCTCAGATCCCCCGGGATCATGGGTCGATCCCTGCGGATGCACCCTCGAAGCCCACCAAGACTGCATGCTTTCATGGGTAACGGATTGTGAACGCTCCAACAAACCCCTCCAGTGCCCAGTATGCAAGGATCGTATTCAGTTGGAAGGACTATGGGATCCTATCGTCGTTATGACGGATGCCGTCGCAAAAAAGTTCACTCGCGCAAGTCCTTTCATGTTACTCTCATCTGTCACACTCGGAGTGCAGTTCAGTCTTCAGATGTACGGCGCATTCGCTATGTGGGCTTTCTCAGGCCGTGAGGCTCTAGTCGACTATGTCCTTGGCCATGAGATCTGGGTTCACGGGGAGGCATCACGGATTTTGATGTCTGGGGGTGAAAGACTAGGCAATGCACTGGTTTTAACCAACGTGGGACCGGCTCTGCTGGTCGGACAGCTTATGCCTTGGTTTGGGAATAAGATCTTTCTCTCTACGGCTTCACTGGTAAGTTAGGGTTCTAGCAAATATTGGCAACTACTAACAAATCACTAGTATGGCGTTTATCAAGTCATGCATGACGATACTTTCCTGACCTGGCCTCCATCACCCCAACTCGCGATGGCAGTGTTTCCGTACGTGCGGTCTGCCTACCTCAACCTTTGGCGCGAATTTGTCTTCCCCTATGAAGTCAACCTTAATAGGCAGATCATGGGGCTTCCCCCAGTCGAACCCCGACGAGATCAGCCTCCTGCCAATGAGCGACAACCCGAACAACGGAACGGAGAGGGCGGTGTTGTGGGTTTCCTCAATGGGCTCATTGAAGCTCTCGAAGGCGATGACATCGATGAGGACGGCCAAGATGATGCTGGCGCCGGCGGCCAGGACGCGGATGGTGAGCAGGGCGGAGGAGTTGTTATCGAACTGGTCATCGAGGAGGTCGATAGAGATGACCAGGAAGGCTTTGATGTTAGGCCAGCAGGACAAAACGAAATGGCTCCACAGGGACCTGTCGATGATGCACCTGCGCCGCGTCCGACAGGTGAGGAGGATCAAGGGGCAGCAGACGGGCCTCATAACCCAGCCCGTATCCCCGAAGAACCAGCCCATGATGCGGTTGCCGTCCCAGCCGTTGTACCTGATGCAGGAAATGGGGATGAAGCTGCTCAACAAAACCAACATGAAGCTCCCCAAGCGCCGCCCGCCCGCCGACCCGGTCTAGGAACGATTCTATCTGGAGTATCTAATGCCATAGTAAGCGCACTGATCCTTCCTGGTGTGTCGTTTGCCATGGGCGAGCTTTTACGCCTAGCCCTCCCTAAGCAGTGGACTGCTGCATCTTCCTTCCCACGCGGAAGCACTATGCGTCCGGGACTGCTCCAGCAACAATGGGGGCGAAGTCTCGTTGGCGGATGCCTCTACGTCGTGCTCAAGGATTTTCTTAGACTGTATACCAAGTACCGCAAGGTAGCTGCTATAGGCAATAGGAAGGTCAAGAACGTTGACAGAGCCCGACGACGAGCCGGGAAATGAGAAGCCCGAGATGGGTAATGCCCGCTCTGGAGAGAGGGGCGGACGGACGCTGTTATAATGATTGCATCAACCGGCGTTATGGATTTGTATAGCCAGGCCAGGGGCTTTTGCTTCGGGAGTGAAGGGGCATTGCTACGGCGAGATACTACAGAGATACACCAGAATAAACCATTCAACTCTTGGAGCCTCAGACACATTTGAATTAGTAGGAGGTTTTATATATTGATGATGCTTTCATTGGCCAATGTACTACGACGAACGACAGCCCTTGAACTGAAACTCTGCTGTATGAAGTGCTATTCCGGCGGGCATTTAAAGTCAAAGGATAAATTTGGCTACGAATATCATGGATCTCAGGCATACGATACTTTATTTATACCACTAAGATTGACTGTCGGGTGTCGTTCCCCCGCAGCTACAGCACAGATTCGGCTGCTCCCAGGCCCCACGTGGAACCTTCCAGCCCAAACTCCACGCCTCAACCGCGGGGCCCTTTTTTGCCTGCACTTCTGAGATCTACTGTACCTTGACCTCTTGTCTCACCGAATCATATCCTCTTCTTGTTTCAATTGGATCTTTTCTATTAGACTTGTATCTTCTGCCCTCCATCCATTTATATTCCACCTCCCTTCTCGCCTGTCCTTCAGGTTCTCTCCATTCGCTATGGTCAGCTCAATCCCCCGCAGTATCAAATCAACCACGGCTGCACTGCATCCTCGTCATGACTCTTGACATGTGGCTAATACTCTCATGCAGGCGTCTACTCACAACTCCAAGCAGCGCCTGGCGCTCGCTATCTGCGATTTCCTCTCCGCTTCGACAAATGACGGCACTCTCACCGCCGACGACAAGGACTCCATCGATGTGGCTATCAACTGTATCGCCGAATCCTTCAAGGTCGATCCCTCCGATACCTCCGCTGTCCAAGCCGCCATCGGATCTCAGAACCTCCTTCAGATCTACTCTGTCTTCGAGAAGGCCCGCGCCGACAAGCCCGCCGCTGCTGCTCCTACACCTGCCCCCGTCGAGCTCACCGATGAGCAGAAGAAGGAGGCTGAGGCCCTGAAGTCAAAGGGAAATGCTGCCATGGCCCAGAAGGACTACCGCGCTGCCATCGACTTCTACACCCAGGCTCTGGCTATCAACGCCAACAACGCTGTCTACCTCTCCAACCGTGCCGCTGCCCACTCGGCCAACAAGGACCATGCTTCTGCCCGATCTGACGCTGAGGCTGCCGTAGCCATCGACCCCGCTTATACTAAGGCCTGGTCCCGACTTGGTCTTGCTCGCTTCGCCCTAGGCGATGCTCGTGGTGCTATGGAGGCCTACGACCGCGGTATCCAGCATGAGGGTAACGGTGGCTCTGACGCTATGAAGAAGGGCTACGAGACGGCCAAGCGCCGTGTTCAAGAGATGGAGGCTGAGGAGGACTCTCTTCCCCGTGCTTCTCCTAGCGCCGGTGGTGATCTCGGTGCCGGTGGCATGCCCGATCTTGGTAACCTTGCCAGTATGTTCGGCGGCGGTGGTGGTGCCGGTGGCCAGGGCGGCGGTATGCCCGATCTCGGTAGCATCATGAGCAACCCAATGTTCGCAAACATGGCTCAGAAGCTCATGAGCAACCCTGACCTTATGAACAACCTCATGAGCAACCCCCGTCTACGCGAGATGGCCGATCGCTACTCGACTGGTGGAGGTATGCCTGACCTGAACAGCCTCATGTCCGACCCTCAGATCGGAGAGATGTAAGTTGCCCATTTGGCCCACGTCACTTTCACAGTCACTAACTCAACCCTCAGGGCCCGAAACATGATGGGCGGCGGTGGCAACCCCTTCGGAGGTGCTGGTGGTCCCGGTGCCGGTGCCGGCGGTGCCAACGGACAAGGCGGTTCGCAACAGTAGAGATGGAATTGTGCAAATAGGGCATCTTTTTTTTATACCATGGTTGCAAGGTGATACCTAAAGGGTGAAGATTCATTGAAGAACATGAAAACGAAGCCGCGCGCATGCTCCTCTTTTTGAATCAACTTCTACAATAGAAACAGTAGCTACTATCATGTTGTCCTTTTCGGATATGCTATCGATATGTGATGCACTCACCGAAGCTGTCTATTGAACTCGCTTATTCATGCGAACCACTGCTCGCCTCCCCCCATTGCAACATATTCAAGCCTTCCTGCGTTGCCATTTTATGTACGCAGGCTGGGCTGGTCTTGAGAAGAGAGAAGTGTAGTCAGTTGCCGGGACACCAGGCTTGCCATCAAGAGTCGACAGTCTGAAGTTGCGCACCAAGGTCGCGACAATAACGCCCAAGTTAACATAAGTAAACTTCTCTCCGATACATCGATGTCGACCAGCGCCAAAGGGTAAGTATGGGCTCTTGGTTCCTTTAGATACAGCACCGTAGCCGTAGTCAATCATCTCGTCCGTCACGGCCTCCTCCTGGGGCTTGCTGTCCCATCGATGAGGATTCCACCTCTGGGCATCTGTGAAGTATTCTTCACTCAACGCTGTGACAATCGGCGCAGCGAGGAGGACCTTGTCTGTGGTGATGGTGTAAGGGGATCCGGGTGCTTGCATAGGTCTCTTAACCTTTCGCATGATGGAGTGAATGGAAGAATGAACACGGAGTGTTTCTTTGACGACACTCTGGAGAAGTGGAAGCTTGTCGAGGTCTGAGTATCGGAGAGGTGGGAGAACGCCACCAGCACCCAAGTTGATGAGTTGCTCTAGGTAGAGTTCCTCGGCAATGTCAGGGGATGAAGCCAGATGAAGTATGACCCAAGAACTAGCAGACGACGAAGAGTGTTGTCCGGCCATGAGAAGAGTGATCATCATGTGGGCGATCTCTTTGTCTGGAATCGCCTGCCCGTTTTTGTACTCGCAATTCATCAGGTTGGCGATCATGTCAGTTCCTTTCTCCAAGTCTCCTCCGCCTCTTCTTCGTTCGTTGATAATGTCCATGTATGTTTCTCGCATCTTTGCGTGGGCAGCGTCTCGGCGTCGATTACGAGGCAACGGAAGCCAAGGGAACAGGAAATTCACAGGGGTAAAGCCTTGATCGAGGTCATGATACAGATCGGCAAACTCGGCGGTAAGCTTCCGTCGAACTTCCTCGCCTTGCAGAGACCGGGCAGCAGTGAAGATGGTGATCTCAGCCATTGCTTTGGGTACATCAACTGTGCCAGACATTCCAGAAAACGACGGTACAGCTTGGATGTACTCCAGCACTTCTCGTTCAATCAACTGAACATGGGACTCAAGAGCCTTCTGGGTAAGACCAAACTTGACAAACTTCTTTTGCTCCATGAGCTTCGAGTTTGGGCAATCGTATACGACATCGCTACCAAAGACAGGCGTTGTCAACGGACCATATATTTCTTCGGCGTTTGCGTCTTGAAGTCGACTGTTGAGAACAAAGTCATTGCCATCAACACCAAGACAGGCAACGACTTTCCGGCCGAAGAGGATAAAGGTGAAGACATCGCCGTGCTAGAAAAGAAGTCAGTTGAAAAAAGAAATCAAAAGGATGATTTAGGTTCAACCTTTTCTCGGCATTTCATAAAGAAGCCATAAGGGTCGAGTCCATAAGCAACAGCATTACCAAAGAACGGGAACCAGTGGAACACTAATGGAGGTTCGTTGGCATTTCGAGGGAGCTTCTGGTATAAGACATTGACAGTGATGATAACCAGGCAGGAAACAAAGGCCCATAGAGGGTAGTAGAGGAGTGGAAACATCTGGAAGAGAAGAGATGGCTGCGGTTTGTTGGATGAGTTGTAAAGTTGAGAGACTTGGGGAGTTTATATGAACAAAAGGAGAGCCAGATCCCTTCGAGGAAAACAATACCGCCAGCTCCATTGTGGTTCCTATCTCTCAGTTCGGACTGGCTTCAGATATCTCATTAACGCAAGCCAAGCTTCGCCATAAGTCAAAGCCTTGGAGCGTATCCGTACTCTCGGCTATCACATCCTGATACGCAGAAGGATTCGCGATCTCAATGTCGACCAATGGCTCTTGTCCGATCATAAGCCTGAATCATCCCTGAAGTGGGTTTGTTATATGTTTCTGGAGTTGTTATCCCTCTTTTCCACCGCAAAGGAAGGTTATAGTGATGCCGAATACGTTTGAGGGTTGTTCGCATTCGTATTCGTACTTGGCATCTGAAGCAACTCTCTGTCACAGTTCGTTCTGAACACAGTCAATTTATAGATAGGAACTCCACTCGACTTAGAGAAGCAGCTTTATTAGTCTAGCAACGATCGTTTACTTATGCCGTTTATGTATTTCGTTGTCGGAGCCGAGTTGGTAGCCCCCCTGATCAAGTCATATGTCGCGGCCAACAACCCTTATTCCTTATAGTGTCTGGCAACGGCAAAGCTAAGCACATACGACCATAACTATCAGACAACTCGGGATCCCGTCCGCTCTCCGTTCGATAAACTGATAAGTGCTGAATTAGTAGTTGGGTCGGTGACGACCAGCGAATCCTCGGTGTTGTATGTTTTTCTTTTTGCTATTCGACTCTATGATCATTATATGCTAAAACCAAAAACATATGGCTGTCTAAACACATATGGCTGATCAACACCTGACCCTTTATCGCTTCTTGAATGGTGTGTCTCTTCGGTAGTGCCATGAAGTGGAATCGCCATAGACTCTTTCATACCCAAACACTCCCTCAACCAAATTCAAAATTGCAGCAGCAGATATGTTGTAGATAGGTCCATATCTGTTTTCACAATGCAGCGTAAGTTTATCACACTCGAGTCCAAAGCCAGAGGCGGCGTGGTTGAGTGTGATCTCCACCGCAGGAGGCTAGGATGTGTTAGATATATCCATCAAAATGCTATAGACGCAAGAGATACTGACCTTATCTACGCGGTTGACGTTGGTCTTGGTCCATCTTTTCAAGTACTCGGCCAAAACTTCCAAAGTTTGGCTGTGGCTACATTCAATTTCAATCCTGTGGCTTCTGTTCGATGCCGAGGTATAAACGAAGAGGTGATAGGGAGCTTGCTGGAAAAGTGCACTAGGCTTCGGCATGGTGTTGGGGTCCGGAAGAAAATCAGCAGCTGGTGCTTTGTAGTCTGTTTTAGAAGGTTTCGCAGGCTCTTCTTCCCGATCTTCTGCTCCAACATCTGCCCATTCATCCCCCGTGGTGGAGTGGATGGGCAACGTCTTGGGCGTACGATTTTCTTCAAAGCATTCAAGAAGCTGTTCCTTAAAGAGACCGAAATACTGAGATGGCTGATGAGTTAGACCTTTGGGGATATACATAATGAATCCCAGTTGTGCATCAGACCACTTGGTTGAAGGCCGTTGATTCTCTGATACCTGCAATATACCACGTCAGCCAGCTCTGAACCCCCGACGAGAGTGAGCAACATACCTCGACCGTCAAGTTCAACCTCGAAGTCACTTCCCTGATGTTCGTAAGTACAGTGTCCGTCCAAGCCTCATGAGCCTCATCATCAAGCAACTCGGTGAGTGCTTCAAACCAAACATGAACGAAGGATGCCACTGAAGAAACCAGCTCGCCCTTATCTTCCCAAAAGCTCTCTAGCTCGGACACAAGAATCTGCCATTGCGGCTCACAGTAAACATCAAGTCCGAGCACGTCTTTCAGCTTTTTCATGGACTCTTGAACACGACATTCGGGCTTTTCCCAATTATCGCGGATGGAGACTTTGGCCTTAAGTGGGCTGATGGTTGCATGAATCAGTAAACCAGCCAATGAGAGATGAACGCTGCGGAGGTCAACCTACAGAGACATGGTTGATGCTACGATATGCGATGGATAGTTCAGTCTTGAGATGAGGAAGATTCACGATAAAGCGAGAGATGATGAACTCATATCTCCATTGTTATTTACCCGCCGTCGGTTAAAAATGAACCCCTAATGCTGATACTCCTCTTTCTGCCAGGGGAATGCGGCTTCACGCTGGTCGGGGTATCACACGCTAAGAAGCGCTATGTTTTCAGCTGGGCGTTTTGGCGTTGTAAGGCAGATTAAAAACCAACCATCACCGCAACTTCTCCCCAGCATTTCTATCTGCAGCCTTCCAATAGGGCTTAGGCAGCTACACGCAGGGTCCTCATTCTAGGCAGCTCTCGGCATGGGGAAAACGCCATGTGGCTATGGGCAACTTGGTCAACTCTGCGAAATGCATATTTGCCCTTGACTCCAGCACGTGCCATTGGCCACAGGCTGGATTGTAGCCTTGTCATGGCAAAGGTTGGCGTTGTCAAGTGTTACACGCTTGCAACTTGGCTACTGTATACACAGTCTAGCTTCAGACAATACCGGCACCTCAGTTGCCGGTTGAGACTCTGAGACTAGGCTGATATGGCAGGTCGTCAGGGGTTCAGATGCCAGAAACAAGCATAAAAGCCAGTCTCGCACCGCAAGACTCTGATCTGAGTATCAGCAACTCTCTCAAACAGTCTATCAACTTACAACAAAGATCCCCTTCTTCTGTCATCATGTCTCGACTTCCACCTGCTGAGAAACTGCCCCTTGCTGTCCGCAAGAACAGTAGGTATCTTCCATACACCAGCCGTGATAGTATCACTAACAAGACTCCAGTCCGAGACAGCTGGGAGAACACCAAGGAGGACCACGAAAAGAAGCTCTCTGAGATTCTTGGTCAGCCATGGACTATCAACATTGATCCCAAAGCCCTCTATCCTTACGCCGAAGAGGGTTCCTGGGGCCACACCTCCATGGGTGATCTCATTGTCAAGTTCGTTTCCCTTTGAAGCCGTCCGCCTTGGTCGTTATCCGCAAGAACCATTTCTTAGTGGATCAAGTGGTCATCGTAATAACTTTACTAACTGTTGCCTCTTCTGTTTAGCTACGTTGAGGGCGTTGAAGATCAGTTGAAGTACTTCATTGAACG